CCGCTTTATGACTCGGTTTACTAAGAAATGGAGTCCACGAAAGGTACAGTTCCAGAATTCGAATGATTTACTTACAAGTGCCAGGTATCGTGAGGGTCTATCGCAAACTTTCCCCACGCTTTGATAACAGTAGTGGTATGCGACAAAGGTGCCCTTTGTCTCTATTCCTCTCCAGTTGAGATCGCTGGAAGGCTCACAAACTCTTGGTGTTGCGCTTCTTCCTGGCAATCGAGTGACTGACTTAGATGATGCAAATTATATCGCTCTGCTCAGTGACGATTCACAGAATATACAGCACTTTTTGAACTGTCTGGCAAATGATGCGTCTAAGTATGGCCTGCGCTTTGCCACCTTGAAGGATCAAGTGGAAATGGAACTCGTCTGCCCCATCGCCTATCATTGAAGGAACACAGCTGGAATTTCTGGACAACTTCGTTTGCTTTGGAAGCTGCATTTCTGCTTTGGGCACTATTGGGTAGGAGATATCTCTTTGTCTCGCCAAAGCGCGGTCGGCAGTTACCAACATGAGGCGTTTGTGGCGTCGTCAGAACATATCCTTCTCCTTAAAGGGGTGGATCTACAACCCTTGTATCCGCGCGGCCCTGTTATGCGAAAGTGTCATAACTGATTAGCGTGGATGACTTGCGTAGTCTTTCGGCCTTCGACAGTACATGTTTGCAGCAGATAGCGCTGTGTGTTGGCAGCACCGGGTTTGCAGCGACGAAGTCCGGCGTCGTGTCTTGCGAAACATGAATCTTCCGCTGTTCGCACTGTCTCAATGTGGCAATCGATGTGGTTTGGCCAACTTCTACGGATGTCACGCGAGCGCTTATCATACCGCGCCTTACTTGATAGCAGGGGATGGATTTGGAAAAGTGCGCGTTGTCAGTCAATCACTTGGCGTCAAACCATGAAACCGCTGACCTGTCTCGCAATCGTCGGCCCAGTAAGTCTTCCTGGTCGGGGGCCCAAGGATATTGAATGTCAATGTCTCGACACACTTGATAATATGGCGCGAAAGCGTAAGCAATGGAAGAGGGTTTGAAACATGTGCTTAGTGCTACAACAATCAAAAAGAGAACAAGGAACAAAATGGCGTGTGAAAACAAACAAAATACCACGAAGCCCAACATATTAGTTCTTTGTTCCTGGCATTTAAAGCCGCTGATCCTCCCTCAGATTGGTATACCTCAACGGTTAATAAACAGCACTTTCACAAACATTAGAGAATCTATCGACAGAAACCTGCCGCTTATCAGAAACCCGCCTACAAGACCCTAGCTCCGTTCTCATTCAGCGATACCCTTCAGGTGACACTAGCAGTGCTTGGTCATTGCGCCTATTCGGTAGTGATTCAGCTTCGAGGGAGGGGAGGGAGTGACGGGCCGTACATGACAGAGGGCGGCATATTTATTAGATATAATTGTTCAATATCACTTGTAAACACATCTCAGTTACTTCCATGACTGAACTAGTAAACATGAGTGGCAACCATCATACTGAAATGGAAGCTGAAAATGGTACTGCAAAAGTTGATATCCCAACAATAGAAAGCGACGTTGACAAAATGAGTGCAGCAGGAAATTTATTTTATGCTGGTATGGAAGATGCGCACAAAATTGACGAATTGGTAATGCAACCACACTTTGGCACGATAATATGCACATCAATTGAGTTTACGGGTGTCTGTCAATGGCCTGTTAAGTTTGGCTATGAAATTCCCACTATCCTCGTCCTGCTCCTCTCTACCGTCATGCTGTACCTCGATCATGAATTCAATAAATGCTACTACCTGGAACGAATACAAGGGCCGAGGCTAAGAAGCTTACAACGAATTGCTTTTTTGGGAGTTGCGAAACGGTGAGCAAATCTTGCCTGTTTTGTTTGCGCTGCAGGATATTTTCAACCGGGAAGTTTAGTTTGTCTACTGATGATGGTTTAAGAACTTGGTGGAAACTAAATCCAAAAGCAGTTGAACGCAACTCTAGTGAACCGTATGCTTACTAGTTCCTCAACCACAAGAAGCTAGCGACCCGACTAACTGGAGTCCAGAAAAACTGGATTTAGCAAACTGTAGACGAGACGCGGTGTGCAATTTGTACTAGAATATTTGGTATCGTCAGGTTTTTCGACAAACAAAAGGTGATACAGTGTGGCCACCGAGGAGACATTCGGTATGAAAAATGAAGCCAGGGAAATGGGGGAATTTCAGAATTTTTGCATTTGTTGACTGAGTAGGAACCACTACTATGTGAACCTTTGGTGACACATCAGCTGGAAACGCAATTCAGCAATTTTTCTTTGTCGCCGGGCGTTCAGCATGAATTAGTGGGCATTTTGGTATAGCAGGTGATGACGGAAATCATAGACCAAGTCAAGGAAAGCAATTATGTCTGATGATGTGAACACAGAGTGATGAGAGAGGAGTCCTTTTTCAGCTTTATTAAGACCAACAGCAAAATGGCAGAGGAAATTTCTGGGTTGGTATTGAGTGAAACAAAGAAAGATGGAATTCAGCTTGATTACTGCCGTGGCCAGGCATTTGACAGTGCAGCGTTTGTGGTATGCTGCCTGATCAGGTGTGCAGAGATATCTGCGAAATCAATCCAAGGCTACGTTTGTGCCTATACACAAACCATTCCCTGAAGCTTTCCTGTGTATACGAAGCTTCTACGACGGCTCCTTCTGCTACATTCGTGGTATAAAGAGCCAACTAATCTTATTACATTTTAGCTAAATATTACCAGGATGTCTTGCCTCAAGTCAACGGTATAACTATCAAACGACTGCAAAATCTAGATTGAGTAGTTGGGTACGCGCTGTAAATGTTGTAGTGAAGTAATACTCGGAACTCATCACTTCTCTGAAACATTTCACAGAATAAGGAGAAAATGTAATCACAAGATCAGCTGCATCTTTAATCCTCATCTAGTTATTGTGGTTTCCGTTTATTTTATTTCTGCACTTTTGGATATCTGTCGGCCGGTGGCGGAGTGACCTGCCCGCCTGGTTCATCACCATAAGATCACCGGTTCGAATCCGCGTAGGGGTAGGCGTTCTCGCGATATACTCAACCCGCGTGCAACTGGCGGTGGTCGCGCGGCAGTTAAGCGCCGTTACGGTGTACAGCTGACACATTACTTTTCTTATTATGTCTGTCCTCATTAAAAGCAGGGATGCACATATGGATCTAAACAAAAGGACTGGATTTGCGGCAAAGTTTTGTCAAACCTACAGCGTATCGACTTTGCCTTCTGCGCAATGAATTCATCTAAAAACACTACGCTGCGTTGGGAATAAACATGAAGCGTCGAAACCGCCAAAAACGAATGGATTGTGACGAATTGTTTGATATATCTATGGGATTTGATGCTGCTTTAAAACGGAAAATGTTGTCTGTCATAGGCAGTTTGATGAAATGCCTTAGATTTCAGCAAATTCCTGAACTTGCAAACAAATCTGCCTTACTTACACCGGCAATTCTGCTTGATACTAATGCATCAGCAATACGCTGGTACGCAGTACTGACGCTTCGCTGTCGCACAACCACCCCCGGTTGCACGTGGGCTAGTGATACTGCGAAGATCGCCCTGCCGCTATGCAGGCTCGAACGCGCGCAGCCAGATTACAAGCTCGTTACCTTTAGGTCACGCGTCGCTTAGCGAAGTTGAGAGAGATTTGGAACGTAGGTATTCCTTACCGAAAGGAGCAGATTAGTGTTTTATGCAAGCTTCGTTTAACGACCAATTTAATGAACCTTCTAAAATTTTGAGCTTCATAACGAAATATCAGTTTAGGGAATCTACTGTACATCTTTCTTACCCGAACTATTAGCATTCCCAGCTGTGAAAGCGTATTCTCAGAACATGAGCTCATAAGGAACTACTTTCAATTATCAATGAACCAGAAAATGCTCACGGATTGACACTTCTCTCCACAGTGAGGGAACACGCCGGTGGACTGAATTTTGATATTGTTGTTAATGTTTTGCCTCAATTAATGCACAAAAATGTATCTATAAATTTTGTTCATAAGTATCACAAAAATACAGATGCCTGCATTTACGGCAGCACTCTAAAATCTCCAATTTGATTGTTGTTATATGTAACGAACAACTAAGCGGCTGTTGGCAATTGTGAAGGTTTATGGATTTACGACTACCAGTGGGGCGACAATTTTACCTCCGCCTTGGGAGGCATAAGTAGTCGCTAGGGCACTACGTTTGTGACATCTTTCATTAGCTAAATCAGTCATAGCAGGTTTTCCTCCCCATCACCTTCGAGGAAAGTTTGATTTTACTAACGAAAGCATGCTACGTCGGGTGACAGTTTGTGCGTCAAGGTGACAGTATTGTAGGGACTAGTTCCCCATAAATGATTAAAAGAAAATCCATGGCTTTTCTAAGTGTCAGTGATTAGTTTTGAGCGAATAGGATATCACGGGAACTCCTTTTATTAGCAATTACATAACTGAAACTATCAGAAGTATGAAGACTAAATGCATTGTCTACAATTCACTGGCGGAAAAATTGTACCCTGTAACAGAATACGGTTACCAAGAGAAATGTTGGTGTAAGATACAAATACGAGGCTTTAAACTAATGATTTGTGCTAAAACTCGATGTGAAAATGTAACTGGGCCTGGACTCATTATCTGAAGTGAGTCGGTGTCAACTATTTCCACTAAGAAGTCAAATCCTACGATTTTCCCTTACAATCTTGTCCTATGCCAACGTTGGATCAACACGCTTGCACCATCTAAGGGCTTTAGTTGTATTATGTTGGTGGAAAAGAGGAACCAGCATGACTTCATGCATTGGCAGCATAACTATTCATATGCAGAAATATTAGTCACCGGATCATCTATAAAAATTCGACCTACCTGCATCCTTCTCCATCTTGTGTAGTAGCGAAGCGGTTACATCCAGTACGAACAAGGCCGAGCCAAAAAGCTGAGGATCAAAGCAGCAATGGCCTAGTTGTACTCGGCATTTGAACAAATCGAAATCGATCAATGTGACTTGATGACGATTGGTCTGGGAGCGAGTTATCCGCCATGGCTGAAGATACGGTCGTAAGAATTCGCATCCCCTGGCTCGTCGAACAAGTTATTTGCTTTTGTTTGAAACCACGTATTTGAACGTTAACACAGCAAGTAACCCTATCCGCAAGGAAATGTCCTCTTCTGCATGCGCTGTCTTGGCGAAAATGGTTCTGAAACTGGTGCCGCACTTTGCTTCCTTGATGTGCTTAGGGATTCCGAGTTGTCAATGGTTATGGATCAGACAAACACATTCTCCTCGTTCTCTAGGTTGAGAATTAAAAGTTGCGTGGCGTCCGTAAAACTCCGGAACGGTGTTATTTACGTTGGCTTGTGGGCACTTGCTTCAGCCAAAGCTTTGTTTGAAGAAGGCAAGCGTTTACTTTGCTGGGATTGGACTTCCTGAGATTATTTTAGCCAACGTACAAGAATGAATATTTCGGGAAAAGTGAAAGTTTGTGTCACCTTTACCCACTTCGCCAACGCATACAGAAGACAAAGCTTGTGATACGTCAACATTTCGATTGCTCTCATCAGTAACAAACGTTTTACGGTTGGGTAATAAATTAACAGGTGTACGTATGGAACGACTTTACACGGTTGAATCAAAATTGTGCGATCAAGGCTAGATGCGCAATCTCTGTCTTTTGTCTGTGTTGACCAAATGACTATCCAAAATTCAAGCATATCCCGTATCGGCCGTCGCGCATACGCACATCACACTATCTGCTGCATACGGAAGGATAGATAAGCGAAAATATGCCATTGCTGATATCTTCCATTTTTCGAATAACTTCTCTTGCTCCCCTTCCGGCACCCATAACTAACTCCTTCGCCACATGTTAGGCGTATTTAACAGCGGCTGGAGTACGGCTGGCCTTCTGTTATCAGCAATTTTCTCATCTTATACCTCATTGGAACCCTAACGACAGCAGCCCGTTTTAAGTCCACGCTGCTGATTTTCTTGGCGGCGTCCAAGGTTCGTACCATATGACAGATGGATCAATAGACTGCACTTAGACGCATATTGGGTATCTTTGGTGCTGCGAGACCGAAGCTAGTATCAATGACCCTCAGGCGGTTGTTGAATTGACTTCACCTTGCATGTCCTTTTCCTACTGCTTAAACGCATCTGGACACACCGAATGGGCAATTGTAGATAAATCTGGGGTAGTTGTGGTTCTCAAATCCATGGTTAAATTATTGCTAGTTGTTTGGGTTCGATTCCCCTTAAACCATGTATCCTGAATGTGACGGAATTCTCGGGTCCGCCTCTTATGCATCTTGCATACATCAGTGGTCGCATGGTTTACATCAAAGAAATCGAGTCGCTTGCAGCTTGTTAATGCCAGTTTTGCCTACGCCGGTGAACCTCATGAAACTCAGACAGCACATACGCAACTGCGAAGCGGTGGGTACTTGGAAGTCGATGGGATTCCTTTACAGATATTAAAGGACGAAGAACCTGCTATGAGACATGCTTTGAGTTACATGGTTGAAGGCAAATAGGATGGAATTGCACTTGTCCCTATACTGAAGGATGACGTTGCGCTACAACTGAACGAGATACAATGAAGCAAGTAAAGTGACAACAACTATAGTTGCGTCAACTTGCAAGTTTGCGCCAGGAAGATAATAACTCATGTTCTGCCCAATCGCCTTGTCACGCAGGTCCTGGAACAAAACGAGACTGTGAAGTAGTGTGGTCTCCGTTTGGGCCAAAAGTGGTGATGTATGATGCGCCGTTTGTCAGCTACAGCAAAATTTCATGAGTGAAATCAAGTAATGAACTTACAATTCCTTGACTGAACCGGAGTATTCGGCACAGTGAATCGTGAGGCATAGAGGGTACTGTTGGGATGGTTTGTTTCTCTGAGTAAGTCGGTTACTCATGTTGAATAATTTCGCAGTGGTAAGTTGGCGAGGGTGCAGTTTTGTTGAAAATACCTCAGATGACTTTTAGGTTGTATTTGTTGCAGAGCAAGGCTGTGTTGTCTAATGTTTATCTAATTGTCTTATTATCTACTGACTACAGTGCCTGTGAATACGGTACTTTTCTCAAGAGCCGTATTGCTTGGATGTAGACGTATATAAGCAGGAAGTATTTGGCGGAAAATCGAGAGCTCGAATTGCCCGAAGACTCTCAGTATAGGCCCCACGATTTGGATCCCCTTCTTTGATACCTTTTTGGCCTGCTCCGTGCAGCTGAGATCTTCCTGAACTAACACACCGAGATGCTTTTCGAGAAAACAGTGTTGCAGATCCTAGTCACCCATCTTATGTGTGTGAACCATTCGGTGACGTAACTGGAGCACTTGACATTTAGCCACTGATGGTAAGGCGATTTATTTACCGAACATTCATAAATCTTGTCAGGATGGATTTGAAGGTGTTTGGCTTACCAAGGATGCTGTAATTTTTGTTGACTTGAAGTTGCAGCATACACGCTTGTCTCCGAAGGACTAAGTGCTTCAACAAAATACCGTTAACATATCCCATGAAAAACAACTGATAAAACATAATCCTTCACGTATTCTAGTCAGGTCAATTGGAACATTATCTACTCGTGTGAGTGGACCTACCCACTGTTACCCACTGTACAAACACGTGACCTCTCCCACCAGATTTTGAATTGCCAATATGCTGTCGGTACTTGATCTAGTGTTCACCAACGAAGAACCCATGGTCGACGGAACACGTACAAGCACACCATTAGGTCTCTGTGACCACCTAACTAAATATTGTTTGACTGTGCACATGTGGAACAACCCGAAGAAGTGGATGATATAGTGTATACGATCAAGCAATACAGCGTGTTGTCCGCGCATTTTATGGCGCAGTCTAGGACCTTCCTAACTGAATACCACCCAGAGATCGCCTGCAAAACCTGTAAACAGTCATTTACCACACTTGTAGTGCATGCGTCAGAATGAAATCCCTTCCATCTTCGTAGCAACTTCAAGTCATTTCTGAGGAACAGAACATATATATACACGTGTGTGAGGGACGTACCTAGGAGAGCTCCCAAATACTCCCCAAATTCCAAACCTGGACTGCATAGGTGGCACAGCTTAATTGTTGCTCGAAATTCATCCGCGGAGTCAAGTTGACGCATCAGCAGGAGTTTCTAAAGCGATTCTGAACGAACCGCAAACTCTCATAATGGCAGGTTAATGGCTTTTGCAAGGTGCAGCGCGGAATTTTAGCCCTAGTCGCGACGAACGGTTGCACGCGAGCAGCAACCGTAGCTGATGATGCCTCACTGATCTATTGCTCACATACGTTCCAGTAACAAGTAACAAACGCAGTGATAATCCCTGTTTCTATTGTTCTGCTGTCTTTTTATATCATCTCTCACCAGTGCCGGAGCGGTACGCTTTCGGTCGCGTCCCCAGGTTGCGAACTGGGGGACATCTTCCCCCTGTAGTTAACTGCGTATAAGTCTCGTCTGCTTAGCAGGTGAGATGAATAGGCATCATCATCATCATCAGCAGCAGCATCCTCACCAGCATCTTCATCATCATCGGCAGCAGCAGCAACTACAACAACAATGGCAGCAGTACATAAGCCACTTGAACTGTCATACAACCGTGATGACCTATAGAATAATGAATAATAAGATGGAAAGAAGGGGGACTTACCTGAAAACCCTAATGCCCAAAGCAAACACGCAGGGTTAAGGTGCCTACACCTTATGTAGACAACCTACCTTCACAAACAGCTGGCTATCGTGCAAATATAGGGCGGCATCAGCGAGACAGTTTCTTTGCGGCTTTCACTGACACGCGTCATAATCAGCCATTACCCTGCAGCTAACTCAGCACCAGACACACTTTAAACAGGCAATTCGATTAGAAGTCGGCAGCAGACGCGCCACTGGTGTCGGTTGTGAGCCATGTCCGGTGAAGTTTCGAGCCAAGCACAAGGCGGGTCACGTGGACCCCAGCCCGGAAGGCGAGATGGACCAACGACACTCAGTTTGGTCGTCAGTGACTTCATTTCCTGCGGCCAAGTCAACTTCTCTCCACCACGCGCCTTGCGCCACCCTACACCTGGTAGACTAAACAAGGCCCTCCTAGGTAAGCGGTGACCAGGCATACGTAGCACGTGCCTGAGCCAACGCAACTTATTCAGTGCCATCTGCTGTTCTGGGGAAATAGCATGATTATCACTGCCTAGTACTCGCCTACGCACATCATCGTTGCGGACACACTGGTGCCATCCGACACCAGCAATGCTTCGTAGACAACGATGCTCAAAGACTTGAAGGCGCCTCAGTACTTCAGACCGAAAGGGTCAAGTCTCACTACCATAGAGCAGAACGGCCCTCACTGTGGCCTTGGATACACGTCGTTTCAGACGGAGGGAAATTCCCTTCTGTCGCCAAAGATGACGCAGGTTCAATAAGGCAGCTTTGGCCTTTGAAATGCGTGAGCTGGCACTAGTTTCTATGCACCCATAGTTGCTGATGCAGCTATCAAGATAAGTGAAATGATCAGCCACGTCTACTTCCTCGTTACTAAGGGTCAAGGGGTTAGGTGGTCCTTCGGCTACACTTTGCCCTTTGTAGGTGCGAAGTGCATACCAAATAATCGGACCACTCTGGATAGGCTATTCAGGGTTGATTGTGCCGCCGCAACATCGTCTAAATGTAAGACAATATCATCCGCATAAGCAAGATCACCTAAGCTTTCATCAGACAGCACTTTAAGGTATACATCGTGAGATTTTGCAAGGAAACACTCCATGATCGAATCCACGAAGAAATTGAACAGAAATAGGGAAATCGGACAACCGTGCCGAACGCCACTTGTGGTCGGAAAGCTATCCATTGGGCCACTGTAGACCCTGACACGGCCTGTAGTGTTCGAGTATAGAGCATGAAGGATCTTCACATATTTCGTGGGAACACCTTTCCGCGCAAGTATTTCGAACAGAATCGATCGATCGACTGAATCGAACGCACATTGAAATCGAGGAAAACAGCCCTTGTCAGTCTGCGGTATGTGTGGAACTGCGCTAGCAACTGCCGCAATGTGAATACAGGATCTATACAGCTACGTCCTGGGCGGAAACCTGCCTACTCTTCCCTAATCCGAGATGCTCGTTCCTCAGTGAGGCGACGGACGATGATGGAGGCCAGTAATTTTGTCACAACTGGCGTTAGGCTAATACTTCTGTGGTTAGAACCGTCTGTGCGACTGCCCTTCTTGTATATTGCCACTATAACCCATTCGATTCAATTAGCCAGGACACTTCCTTCCAGATATGTTCAAATAGTGAGGTCAGTTCTTTGCAGAGGACCTCACCTCTATCCCTAAATAGTGCAGGTGGGAAGGGATCCGGGTCAGCGGCACAAAAACGATTGAGGACTGTGATCGTGTTTCGGACCTCGGCTTCCGACGGAGGCTCTAAACTAACCGTCCATGTCTCGTCTTGCATCACCTCGTCCTACGAGGTCCGGGAGCAGGAGAGCCAGCAGAACTGCTCTTGAAGTGTTCAGCCCAACGAGCCATACGGCGTTCCTTATTGTGTATCAGTGCACCCGCGCTGCCTCTGATTGTCTCATTGACGCCTGGTTTTCTGGGGCCAGTGGCACGGATTAGCTGGAAGAGTTTGCGGTAATTGCCTACT